CAATCTGCATCGGATTACCAGTCACACATTAAACAGCCTCATTTCAATTCACCAAAACAAACGGTGCCACCAAATCTACCCACACAATTTGCTACTTTCAATAACTCCACGTTTGCATTTCTTTGCCCAATTCAGTGACACATGTCTGCCAAGCTCTGTGATGATGGATGGAGTCATTAGCATTTTAGTTTCTACACTGAACCTGAAGCCAGAGCATATGGTCTGACAGATGTTCCAGCAATGGGTTCTATTTGATTTGCCATGTAGGTGTCCACCTATACTGGACCTTCTTGAAAGAATACTACTTTAAAAGTTACAGTATAATTCATTTCAAACCTCTCCCATCCTCAGGTGACAAGAGGTTTTTAAATCAGAACATGCTTTCTTCTATATTTCAGCGGACACTTCCAATTACAAATTACCTCTTGACCTAATTAAACCACTTCAAATAGGCAAGATGGACAAAATGCAGGGGATTTTTATGGGCTATTGCCATCTATGGCTTGATCAGTACTATCAGTAAGTTGAATATTTAACTATATTCACTTTTTTCTCTTCATGATTTTTTTTAGGTAAAATGTATATACAGCGAATTGGGCAAATCTTAACCTTTGACATATGTGTGCATATCCATAGACCCAATTCCCCAAACAAAACATATGACATTTACATTAATCCAGAATTTTCTCCCTGCAGACTTTTAGCCTAATTGTAATCTCCTACAGGCAAACATTCTTTAAATTTCTAGTTATGCTTTTCTGAAAATTCGTACAAATGGAATCATTCCATCCACACTCTATTGTGTCTGCTTTCTGATAACATGTAGCCAAGCCTCATGCGTGCTGTTATAATGTGTCAGCAGTTTATTCTCTTTTTATTGCTAATCAGCATGCCATTTCTTGAATAAGTCACAAATGGCTTATCAACTTTATTATTAATAGATATTGGCATTTTTATAATTACTAGTTATTCTGATTAAGACTATTATGCATATTCTTATACAAATATTTTTGTGGGGATATCTCAATTTCTCTTGAGTAAATACTTAGGAATGAAACTATTGCACCACATTAGTTGCATGCTTATATATTCACTTTTTCCTGTGATTACTTTAACCACTATTTATAAGAGACACAATAAAAAAAAACATGGCCAACATTTTTAACCTAAAAAATTGTATAGCTTAGTTTTATTTTTCCCATATGGAAACTATGCTATACCTCTCAGGAATATAACTGATATTTTAATATGCTGTTCTAATATATGTGAGATGTAAAATTTCCTTTGTGATCTTATTTCACATAACCTGAGTTTTACCATAAGATTTGAGTTATGAACCACAAATATTCTACTATTGATAATACCATAGGAATACAATCAAAATAGCTTACTTCTAAAACTTGGAAGAACTGAAAAATGCCTATTTATATGGAAAAACACAAACCATTACCTTGACAAAAATTTTACATATTTATGTTTAGAATACACATTACTTAATTTAGGTTTATGATAGAAGAGGAAATTTGAAGATCATTAAGAGTGTCTAAGGGAATTATTCAAAGTTCCTTTTACTACAAACAATAGTATACTTTTAACACATGTACTCTATAACATTTTTTTAAAAGAATGTTCGAGAAGGCCTCATGATTTCGCCATATTTCTAGTCTATGGACTCTAAAGAGATTACTAAAAGTATTCATAAAAAGTATGTTTTGTATATCATGAGCTTATTTAGCATGTACAAAGAGATTAATCCAACTTTTATATTTCATTCCATATCTAGAGTGAATGATGTCCAAAGACAAATTATATAATCTGATTTTTATAGGAAAGAGCACTTCCTATAGATATTTCTAGAACCACCATAATATGCCTTATGGATTATCCGTGAATAGGTATCTCTTTATATGTCTGCTTTATTCCCCCTCCACTTTTCAATGTACTTAATTGGTATGTCATTTTCATAATAAAAATTTCAAGTATGAATCATAACCTAGAAATAGTAGGTAAGTAAGTGAACATATTCCCTAAATGTATTTTCATATTCAAAGTCTTAAAATATCAAACATGATTAGGTATTTTGTTCAGTTCTTTTCACAGAGTTATAGTATGTCATTTTTTTTAATAGAAAACGCTGCTTTTTTAGTTTTTGTTAGTTTACTCCATATTTAGACAACATTTTACAAACTAAAGCAAGCTCAATTCAATCTAATCTAAGTTATTTGAAGGACTTAAAAAGTTGGTCACCATTTATTATTTCACCTGGGCATGGCAGGGGTAACAGCTACTCTATTATTCCATTACTTCTATGATAGAATGCAGTGACCTTTCATTGAGTTGCTTCAAGTACATTCATTCTTAGTGTTCTCAGCAGATATTTTCAGCACTTGTTCTCACAATGAAACTTAATTTAAGGAACCATTTTTTCCAATACAAAACTAATAACATAAAAATTTTATATTCTTCCATCAAACAAAAAAGGTTATCAAGGCCATGTTTCAGACCATCCAAAATAATATAAAGACCTAATTTAGCATCTTACAGCTGGAAGGGATTTTAATCTCTATCCAACAACTCCTTTTATAGATAAGAAAATAAAGCCCCAGAACAGTTCAATGAATCACTAAGCCCTCCACACTTGACTAGGTTAGAAGGCTTAGGAGAGTAAGAATTAAGGCTACAATTAAGAAGGGTGCCTCCTGAACCCTAGGATGTTATTCTACACCAAATGAAGGTAATTTGACATTTATTTGTATGGGTTAGCTGATAGATTCTCCAGGATTCTTCCTTTTTATTGTGTGTGTGTGTGTGTGTGTGTTTTTTTCCTTTTTAGCACTATCAGGAAAAGATTTTCTGTTAACAGTCACTTCTAATAGACTCACTTATATATGAGGACAAGTCTTATCAAGTTGATTGTTACATTGTATCACTACAAAGACATTTTTAATCTAAAAACATCCCTAAACAATGTAATTGATATATTACAATGTTTCATAAAAAGAATTATTTAAGAGAATAAGTTAAGATAATATATGTAATGCTATGGAAAAACAGTAGAACACCCTTTGAATAAATAAGGTGAATACGCACATTGCTAAAGAACTGTGTAATGTCAATGTCAAAGTCGAAGAGAAAAACACCAAGTCACCTTGTGTGTCAAATGCAAAGAGGAGGACAGGGAGAGAAAAGAATGCAGAATAAAAGTATTTTCTCTCACTTCCTTTTCAAAAATGGCAGGAGGAATATTTTAATAAACCATAATGAAATGAGCCAATCTACAAAATAGGAAACAACAAAAAATGAGAACTATTGACTGCAACCCACTCAAACCAGTACGGTCCAGAAAACCTTTGTTGCCACAAGGCAGCTGGCTTCTGTGGACATAAAACCCTTTTTATTTCAATGTCACATTAAATCCTGGGGCATAAAACCAGCAGAGACTATAGAGTCTTTTCTGGTTTCCCAAGAAAAGACTATACAGCTCAAAACTAAAGCCAAATTTCAACTAATGTTCTCATTCTAGTGCAAATATAAGCAAAATAATCAAAAAATGTGTCTGAAATTATTTTTAAATGGATTTCCTTTGGGGCTGGGGAAGGGAGGGAGAGAGGAAGAGAGGATAAGAGAGAGAGAGAGAGATAAACTGACTTAACATATAGTTGATAAGACAGTTTGTACATTACACAAAATGTTCTCCAGAAAAACTTAGTCTATATTTTGATATGTGTAGGGGAAATCTGCATAATGAGAAAGTGGAAAAGAGGCCTCATTTTCTTTTCAAATTTGGGCAAAAAAAAGTATGGTCTCCTGATATTTGCAAATCAAATCAATTACAAGAGTGGTGATAATTAGACTAATATGTAATATGAATTATGTGTTTTAATATTCAAGTAGATTGTTGTAAGACTCAGATACCATAGACCCTTACATATCAGACAGTATAGCTGACATAGGTTCAATGATCATTTATTAGAACCATCTCCCCAGATACCTGCAACCTAATAATTATATCCAATACTATGTTCAAGGAACTAAGTTAAATTTATAATTATTTTTCTTTTTGGTCTCTATTGGCATTCTCAGGAATTTGAAATTTCAAACTAATTAAATTACTTTGTTCATATTAATGAAGATATAATAATACTAGTACTACTACTACTAATAAAGGTGTTCAAAAATTATTGTTTCTTATATATAATCTAATTTAAAATATTTAGCTCAACAGCTATCTGTCTTAGGTCCAGTCTTCTGGCTCCACAGATGCTCTATGCTCCTCCTACTCGTACCCCAGCACCCCAAGATTGATAGATACATTTTCAATAAATTTTCGGAAGGCAAATCCTATTCCTTGGTCTACAGTTCTTTCTGATTCTTTTAAAGCTCTTAATATGCCTCATTTATATTTCTCCAATATGTATGTTAAATCACAACTAATTAAATAAAAGTTTATTAAGTATTTAATATGTAGAAGGCACATGTCTTGACCTTGGATCTGTGATTAATTCTCATACACAAAAGTTTCAGTAAAATTTAATTGGCTTTCTTCCAATTTATATTTCCTGAAATACTCTCAAGGGATTCTTAAAACACTCTTAAGAACTTGAACAGAGTATGACAGTTCCTATGTAAGTAATATGCTCTTATAAGTTCAGTTTTCAAAATATTATTAAATAAGAAAAATTTTACTTTCATTTCTATTTCAAATGGATCTAAATTTTTTTTCCTTAAAGTTTGAACATAATTTTAGAGAATCATTAGGTTTCACTAGATCCAAATATTTATTAATTATAAGCCCTCAAATTTTTATTCAAATTCTGCCCAAGAAAGGAAATATCTGATATGAATCTGCAGCCAATTAACACACAAGCAGCCTGTTCATGCATGTATATGAACACACACACACAGGAAAAGGTAATACCTCCAATAGTAGTGGAATGTTTTTTGGTTTGTTTGTTTTTAATCAAGGTAACTCTGCAGCTCAGCTGCCACCTGGGCCTTACCTGCAGCCATAACTTGTTATGCACAGCATCTCTCCCAGTAGCAATACACTGAAATGTAGCATTCTGCCCTGCGTTGACCTCTACATCCCCCAGACGGAGGAAATGAGGAGATTTATCTGTGAGAATAGAGAGAACAGTTATTTTTTCCACATGAAGAAAATATGCCAAGTTACTTTTCTTCAACAGAATATTATTCTGAATGTTTCTTCCTTTGGTCAAGACTAATATAAGAAGAAAATGGATTTTTCTATGTGCTAGAAGATACCATTTCCTCGCTCACTCTCACAGTTCTCTTTTCTCAGTAGCTACATTGCCTATTGCCCTGTAATTACAAGATGACTCTTCTATGCAGAGTGAGCATTCAACAATTAATATTAACTGATCGTTGTAGCAGGTTGCACAAGGACAGTAATAATGTTATAAGTCAAAGTAGCAAAACACATTAAATAGGCATATACCAGAACATACTACAAATATACAATGAAAACAAAGATTTCTAAAATACTGATTGCTGGATGGCTGTTGAACTATTTTCCTATAAATAAATTTCCTTTCTTTCTTCTTTTTTTTTTCCTTTTCTTTTTATTTCAGTAGTTATAGCCCTCTAAGGGCTCCAAAGAAAAATGAAATATTTTGTTTTTCAAAAACATTATATAAGCTGCTATTAAGTACACTCCCTACTTCTTTATAGGTTCTAGAAAATCACCCCTAAGAGATACTAGATCAACAAAAAAGTGATAATTGTATTCAAAATATAGATGAAATGTATATGGCAATACGATATATTTATATGACTGCCAAAAAACTATATTTTCTTTTTTTGAACTTAGGGCACTCAACGTGTGAGCCACATTCCCAGCCCTTTTTAAAAAATTTTTATTTATTTATTTATTTTTTAATTTAGAGACAGGGTCTCACTGTGTTGCTTAGCACTTCCCTTTTGTTGAGGCTGACTTTGAACTTGAGATCCTCCTGACTCAGGCTCCCAAACCACTGGGGTTACAGGCATGTGCCACCATACCCACTAAAAAACTATTCTTTGTAATTAACATTCAAAACTGAGGACCTCCCCGCCACACCAATATTTTTCATAAACAACAAAAACTAAGACTTAGTAAGTAAAAGAAAAGCTCTTGGAAAACCAACACTGGAGTTGCTATTTTTGTGCTCAATTCCAAATTTTGTACTTATTTCCTCACAAAAGTCTTTCTTAACCATCTGCTGTTTAGGAAGTGAACATGAACTATAGATGGAAACATTGTTCTCTTATGCTATAGAAAGAATTTTCTTTTCTTATGAAGGAATTTAGTAAGTCATCTTGAACTTCAATGAGGTCATTTTGTCCTTTCTTACCACATAAGAGGTGGAACAGACAATGTGTCCCTTGCCTGCTACATCTTTCCTACAGCATTACTTAGAGCACACTAAAAAGAAATGCTTGAGCTAGAACAAGGGTTCCCCAAGTCTTAACTCTAGACAACCAGATTAGAAATGCAAATTTCCAGGCCTACCCTAAATGTAATGAATCAGAACCAGTGGAAGAGCTGACAATGTGTGATTTACCACACCCAGCAGAGGGTTCTGAAGCACACAGGAGTTTGACAACACACAGCAGAGGGGCAAGCCTGAGCCCTGCACAGAGTGGCCCTTGTACATTCTCTTCACAGTGTGATAGAAATGTTTCTACCCAGAGGATTACTAAACAGATAATGCAGAATATATACATATAAGATGCTGCTGCTAAGAAACTCAAGTAAAATCTAAATTCATGCATGGTGATTTTTTGCCCAGGTGCATTGAAAGTTTACAATAATTGTCTTTTAAGTAATGTGATTTATACACAAACTTAGGTATACCATCCAAAAACCAATCGATGTGTGATTGATGCCATAACAAAACTATGTTTAAGTTAAGATTGCTTTTGTTCTTTATGTTTTTAAAGGGCATACTAACCAGATATTTATTATGACATCAGAAAAAGAAAAAAAAACTAATTTTAAAATAAAGTGAACTAAATCATTCCCTTCATTTTACATAAACCTAAAATTAGTAGACCAAATAACTTAGTGAGGCTTATTTTTATTTTCCTTTGTGTTGATCTGATTTGTTGTTCTCTTTCCTTTCCCACACAATTGAATAACACTGAAGGATGCAAAAAGTCCTACAGAGAGTTGCCTTTGATTTACATTTTGCTCTTAGTAATTAAATAATTAAAAGGATGCTTTAATATGTATATAGTTAGTCAGAAGCCTTAAAAGTATATGCTTAGACAATTACAGAAATATCTTAGCATTTCTTTTATTTATTTATTTATTTTTAATGTTTTTTTTTATTGGTTGTTCACAACATTACAAAGCTCTTGACATATCATATTTCATACATTAGACTGAAGTGGGTTATAAACTCCCAATTTTTACCCCAAATGCAGATTGCAGAATCATGTCGGTTACACATCCACAATTTTAAAACTGAAAAGAAGCTAGGAAAACAATGAAGACAGCAATGACCAAGTGGTAAACAATCAACAGCCACTGTCAATTTAAGACAAGTGTTGAAAGGACATTGAAAAACTCAGTTCTTAATCAGAACCTACCACAAGGATAACTCAGTACTTGGATGTCATCAATGGCAATATAGCCGCTTCTCCCTCCTGAGACTTCGGCTTCAAATATTACCTGTCAGAAAGAAACAGAAAACATGTACAACAATCATTTTCATGGAATGTCCACAGTGGGAGGAATACAACTGTAATACATTTGAAAGTAAATTTCATTTTTGTTCTATTAAGAATTAAAACTTTATTTTATAATGAATGGCAATTTCCTAAACCTAAGAAAATGAAAATTAATTAAATTACTGAAGTCAAGCACATCAAAATTTTTAGGCAAATAGTATTAAGCCTCTTAGATTTCATGAATTAGCAATATAAAGGCAGAATGGAGGCTGATACAACAAATCTTTACAAATGTTCTCCTATGGACTTTCTTCATTTTTGTTATTTATTTAACATTAACATGTCTACCATGTTCCAAGCACTATGCTAACCACTGAAGATATCAAATGCATAAAAGTAAAACCTGGATTTTAAAATAGCTGATTTTTCAAGGATGGAAATCAACAGAAAATTACCGGTGTTGTGAGCAAAAGGGATGACATACAACGAAAAAGAGCAGGTCTGCATGTTGGGGGAACATTTCCCCACAGTATCAGTAGTTTCCTGATAGCCTTTGCCAGGACAGTTTTACTCTAGTAGTAGAACATAAGTTTGATTGACTAGGCTGCTAATAATAATTATTGAGCAGTTACTGTATAAAAGAGATTTTCCTAAATTAGCATGCACATTCACACTGGCCTTCTGTGTTGTTTATCTAAGTGCATTAGCCATGAACACACTTGCCATATTATATGCTAAATACTGGAAAACAAGATTAGCAAGATATAGACAACAAAATCTAAAACTTGAAATAATGTATAACTGAGGCAATTGCATCATATAGGATTCTTTCTAGGAGATGAGAAATCTATATCAAACTCCAATCTCTCCTATTTACAAATTCTTGAGCCAATCAGAAATTTGAGGTTTAGGGCTTTCAGAGCCAAGTCCCAAGACCGTTATATGCATATGATACAGCTTTAATGATGAAGTTTTAGGATGCTTAAATAGTAGCATATTAAAAAGTGCTACATAAACCAAATGACTAATTATCATCATTGTTTCTATGTGAGGGCTGTCTAAGTGAACCCTAGGAAAATAAGTTTATTTGCTTTAATAGTAGTCAAGGAAAGGAAAAGTACAGAAAGAAAAAGTAAAAATTTTTAAAGAAAATTACATTCCAAAGAATAAACCACACATCTGTGTAACAGCTAGTCATTGTTAGCTATTCTAGTTTTGTTGTAGTCAGCACTGACAAGTTTAACATCTTGGCTTACCTTAATGTTACTTTCTAGAATGGTTTAACATCCTTGCTTCATGTAAGTGGTAAGTTAAAACAAGATTACTATGCCCCTGAGAAAAAGCTCTCATTAGTTCACTTAAACTGAGGTTCATTCAGGATAATAAATTTAGGCCTTGATTTTAGGGGAGGCAAAATGATTGGTTCTTTATTAAAGGAAAAAAAAAAAGTTCCTCTTTTTAGTGACCTCATTTTCCCCACTAAGTGTTGTCTTTGCCTCATTAACAAGAGCTAGAGGAAAATTTTAAGATCAGATTCCTTTACTGCTGAAGATGTAATCAGCTTTATTACTTCAATGGAGCCCTCACCTTGTAAGGCTCTTCTGTCCATTCAGGGGAAACAAATCTCAAAAGCTTAATTACACAGAGCTCCCTTAGGCTAATGTGCAGGTCAGAGCTAATGCTTGGTGTCAAGTGGTCAACCAGGGCTTCCCAGAAGAGGAGAGCCATGGAAACCACACCAGAGGTCAGCTTTAGCCTGTCCAGAAGCCCAGCCTGGGAAAGGAATGAGTGGGGTCCGCTCTTCATGCTGTTTTTACTCCACTCCATTACCTGAAATACTGAGGTGATGATTCTAATCAAAATTTTGCTACCCCAGCAACATCCCTGGATTATTAACTAAATAAATGAAGTAAAGTTTAATTTAAGTGGGGGAGAAAAAAAAATGGCAAACTCTAAAGAACAAGGACAGTTTTATCCTGTGGCCAACAGTTAATGCAGAGGAGGAAGAATCTCATAGAATGGAAAGGGGAACTTTCTGTCGGGGAGCCTAGGGTCTAGGTGCTGGTCTGCGTCATGTGTAACACAACAATTAATTTAACTTGTGTCTTTGTGGCCTTGTCTGGACAATACTGTCCTTGCCTATATCACAGGTTTCTCATGAAAATTGAATGATATGTGTGAAATTATTAAATAGCACAGAAAATACCATGCAATGTATAATGGATGCTAGAAAATCTAAATTTTTTGCTCTTAATTTTCTTTCAATGTATCATAGCAGCAAGAATCGAGATCCAAGGAAGGATGCATTTAGCCCTCACTTTTAAATTAAAATAAAAGCTTACATAGAGCTCCTTGTATACTTTAACCTACATAAAATTTAAACTTTGATTTTCTCTTCTACAAAAGAAACTATGACTATTCACCTCAGGGCTTTAGAGGATTAAATGAGATAATTCACTTTCAACACTGAGCACAGTCCTGGCACACAGTAAGTATTATATGTTGGTTTGCAGTACTGCCATCATGGGAAGAAAACAACTATAAAAGACATATGCACTAAAATTAAATTTCTTCCCTTTCCCATCTCACTGTCATCCAAAACCTAGATCCCTACCCACTCTCAATTTGGAAAACATAGAATAAACTGGTATTTCCTTCTCATAATTCTCCTTATATCTACATTTTTTTTGTGATTTAAATTTTCAAACATCACGTTTAGCTTTCAAAGACAAAATATGTCCAAATCAAAACTTATTTTTTCTAATATTCATTTTGAAGCAGTGCAAATTTCAATAGTGAATAAAATATTCATCTGTAGCATATACAAAGATGACTAAAGCTGAAGACTCAACCTTCTGAGATAAAGCACAACATTTGCAACTCTCATTATAACATGAAAGTTCACATTTTACATATTTATAAATATATGTACATGTATATATACAAACCTAGGTATACAAATCAATTTAAAGCATCATTAGACATAGTTGACTTCTCTCTACCCTGCGAACTTTAAACACTGTAACTGCTTGAAGGTCTAGGTTTTCTCTTTTTTCCCCTCTGACAGGATTGAGAAAGATAAGCCTACAAAACAAATGGACTGAAAAAAAAGTTTGAAATATATAACAATGTGAAAGAAAAATGGAGATATATGGTGTCATGGAACCTAAATCTAATAAAAGAATATTTGAGGGGCTGGGGTTGTGGCTCAGAGGGATAGTGCTCACCTAGCATGTGTGAGGCACTGGGTTAGATCCTCAGCACCACATGAAATAAAATAAAGGTATTGTGTCCACCTATAACTAAATATTTTTTTTAAAAAAGACTATTTGAAGGGGAAGAGATATACAAGACCAAGTGTTGATCAAATACTAGGTGAAAGGGAATTTTAAAACGCCCCTTATTTGTGACATTGAGATCAGAAGTGATCAGAGAAAGAGCTACCTGTATGAAATAACAAACAAAACAACAACAACAACAAAATAAAAAACATAATGGGCATTGAAGAGAGTTGAGGAGTGGAGACAGAAATTTTAAAACTCTTACAGGAAGTTTTCTTGAGGGGATAGAAAGAAATGTCACTAAGGATATAAGAAGATATGTGATCAAGGAGAGTGGTTTTTAAATTTTTTATCATTGTTTTTAAGATGATAAACATGTTTAGATATTGACAAGATTGATGCAAGTTGTCAGGGAATATTTGAGAGTACACGAGAGAGAAATGATAACAGTCAGTGTGAAATAGGATAAGATTCAAATCTCTTGCCACAAAAGGGGCACTACCCTGGCTAGATTATGAAGAAAGGAAAGACATGGGGCTATAATATGTAGGATTGGAAGATAAGCAAGTTTCTGTAATATGGCCACAATTTTCTCAGCCATGAGACATAGATCTTAGTTGATGAAAAGGAGAAATGATTGAAGTTTGGAGAAAATCAAATGGAACAAACTGAAAAAGAGAATAAGAAAGAAAGCCAAACAGATCCACGTAGTAAGTAGGATTTCCAACTGTCTTGTCAGACCAATTGACGTCAATAGCTATGAACTTTTTTGCCCAAAATCTATCATATGGTATGTATTTTTGAAAACATCACTTTCTTGGATTTAAGCCCAGGAAAAGTGAATAGAATTAAAGGAAATAAAGAAATAGTGAATGAATAATGAAAATAATCATGACAAAATTTTTTTATGTAATGAGCAAGCTGATAAACTGGCAAGAGATAGATGATTTCATTGACTGGAGCTCTCCATGAAGCTGTGTAAAGTGAATACAGTAGAAAGAGAGGAGTTTATAGGTAGAAAATGATAGGTATACATACATATAAAGTTGGAACAATTGTGAGCTATTATAACATCCATTTAAACAAAACAGCAGGTTGCTGAGGTAAAATAAGGGAGGTGAACTTTGGAGGTGGTGAAATGAAGGAACTATCAGTGGACTTTCTACAAATATACTGAAATCATCAGGATATGGTGTGCCTTGGAATTGTAAGGGTCAGTGATAAATGGTGCTGGTACCAATGTTGATGACAAGTAGAACAAAATAAGGTTGGGGACAAATGAAAGGTAATGATGAGGATGATGATATGGATGAAGGGAAAGAAACCAAAAGAGGCAAAGAAATTTCTCCTATCTATTGTTCTGGTTATAAGTTACATGGTAATTAATGCAGAGAAACCACAAACAGACCATGATTATAATTATATAATTGATTCTATAGATAAATTTTTGATGTTCATCTCCTCTACTAAAATGTAAATTCATTGAGAGCAGTGTCATGTCATGTTTTTCTTAACATCACTGAACAAGAAGAATCCTACTGAAAGTCAGGGTTGCAAAGAGTAACAATGTTACAGAACACAATTATGCAATATCAGTGGATTTTAGTTAATGGTTTTGCCTCTAAGGGAAAAATGGGATTAGGTATTTAGCCCATTTTTACCTTGCTCATAAATTTTTGTTGACATAATAAAATGACACTCCCTTGAGAAAGTTCCAGAT